TAGTTATGCCTTTTGGCCTCACCAATGCCCCGGCCACCTTTCAGGCGGCCATGACCACCGAGTTTCGTGCTATGTTGGACCGCTTCGTTTTGGTCTACTTAGACGACATCCTCGTCTATAGCCGAACTCTAGAGGAGCATCTCGAGCACCTTCGTTGTGTTCTAGAGACTCTTCGGTCAGCCCGGTACAAAGCTAACCGCGACAAATGCGCGTTTGTCCGGCAAGAGCTTGAATACTTGGGTTTGTCTCTCCGGAAGGCATTTGTCCGTTGGCGGACAAGATTCAAGCCATCCAGGAGTGGCCCGAGCCGAAGAATGTGACGGACGTCCGATCCTTCCTCGACTTGGCCGGTTATTATCAACGCTTTATCAAGGGTTACTCGAAGATCGCGGCCAACCTAAGCAAGTTACAAAGCGAGGAGCGGCCTTTTGACTTCGACGACGACGCGCGCCATTCTTTTGAGACACTCAAAGCGGCACTCTTATCCGCCGAGGTGTTACATATTTACAACCTGCTTCTAGCTACGCGCGTCACTATCGATGCGTCGGGCTATGGCATTGGGGCCGTCCTTGAGCAGCACGATGGCACGGACTAGCACCCGGTCGAGTACTTTAGCAAGAAAGTACCTCCCGTGCATTCGATCGACGACGCACGGAAGGAGCTTCTTGCCTTCGTCCACGCCCTCAAGCGTTGGCGACATTTCCTCCTTGGTCGGAAAGCATTCCGATGGGTAACGGATAACAATCCGTTGGTATTCTACAAGTCGCAAGACACGATTAACAGTACCATTGCCCGTTGGATGGCTTTTATCGACCAGTTTGACTTTTTCCCCGATCACATTCCCGGGAAGTCAAACCGTTTTGCGGACGCCCTCTCACGGCGACCGGATCTTTGCACCGCAGTCTACTCTACCTTCGAGATCGACGACGACTTGCGGGAGAGCTTCATCCGCAGCTATCAAGTCGAGCCCCACTTTCGCGACAAGTACGCGAATTGCTCCTCTCCGAATCCRGTGCCTTCGCATTATCGGATCCAAGAGGGCTACTTACTTGTGCATTCACGGGGTAAGGATCTTCWTTGTGTGCCGAATGATTCACACTTGCGCACACGGCTTCTTGGCGAGTTTCACGATGCGCCCGCCGCCGGACATTTTGGTGTCAACCGTACACTTGGCCGACTTCGCCAGCGGTTCTATTGGCCCGACCTTCTCAAGGACGCCACCCGCTATTGTGAGTCGTGCGAAGTCTGTCGGCGTTGCAAGGCACGCAACCATCATCCGTTCGGTGAGCTACACCCATTACCAGTGCCCCTTGGGCGACGGGAAGCAATTGCTATGGATATCATCGGCCCCATCCCAAAGCACAAGACCGGCGTTGATGGGATCCTCACGGTTGTCGACCGCCTCACCAAGTACGCCATGTTTTTGCCTTGCCACTATCACACAAAGGCACCGGAGCTAGCCGAGGTCTTATACACCGGTTGGATTCGCTCCAAGGGCTACCCCAAGGAGATCGTTTGCGACCGGGACACTCGCTTTCTCTCCGACTTTTGGGCCGCCCTCGTCAAGCGATGGGGCTCATCTTTGAAGCCGAGTTCGGCTCGCCACCCGCAAACCGATGGTCAAACGGAAAGGGCGCATCAGACCACTCAAGTCCTTCTCCGCACTCTAATCCGTCCCGACCAGGTTGATTGGGTTGAGCGCTTGCCAGACTTTGAGTTGGCTTACAACTCATCGATCCACCCGGCTATCGGGATGTCGCCGTTCGAGTTTGAGCATGGTTCACCCATCTCATCGCCACTGGACGGTACTTTGCCGCGCACAGCTGAGAGCGACGACCATCTTGCGTTCCTTCGTCGCATGCAAGAGCTTCTTGTCAAGGCACGGGATCAGATGTCGAAGACGCAAATACGGATGAGCCGTCAAGCCAACCGCAATCGCCTTCCTTGCCCGTTCCGCGCCGGCGATCTGGTTTGGGTCTCCGCAGCGGAGTTCAGCCTTGAGCAAGACATCTCTCGCAAGCTCCTTCCCAAGTGGATGGGGCCTTGGCGCATTCTCTCTGCAGCTGGTGATGATCCCGAGGGGCCCTCATTCCGCATCGCGGTGYCACCTCACTTGCYCGTCCACACGGTGTTCCACTGTTCCAAACTCGCTTCTTTTGTTTCAGCGGAGTCCGACGAGTTTCCCGGTCGACGTACGCAAGACCCTCCTTCCATAGACGGATTTCAGGAGGCCGGCTACATCATCACCGACCGGCGCCATGGCAACAAAGAAACAGAGTTTCTACTTCACTTTTCCTACTGCAGCCACAAGGCTGACCGTTGGCTGACGCGTTCGGAACTGCA